GGTGGAGATCTTGGCACTGCCTTCCCCTGCACCGGCAGTGTTTGCCAGCCTCCGGCACCGAAAAGCACTGCAGGAGCTCTGCTCGGTGAGCAGACCCCCAGCCCCGGTGGGTGAGGTCCCCTGTCACTCTACCCAACAGATGAATCCGGTCAGAAGAGTTCCCACATCCGCCCCCGTGGTGTCCAGTCCGGAGCCGAAGGAGGAAGTTGATGGGGAAGTGGCGGGGGAGGCCTCTCCATCTTTGAATACTTCATATGGGCAAACTGAATTATATCCCAAGCTATTACATTTTTCAAATCTGTCCAGAAGAAACTAGATGTGCATTCAGGAGGCCCACGCCTTGGCCCCGGAACTATAGAAAATACAGAAAGAAACATGTACAAGGCTGTTGCCCTGGCGGTAGATTGACATCTCAGAAAACTAAGCACCTGCCTGGGTGCTCAGGACCCAGGGAAGACGCCTCCCAGCAAAGCCAGCCTTGAGCCCTGGCCAGAAGGAAGTGGGGGAGCCTGGCAGGAGAAGGGAGTTCCCTGCTCTGCCCCTTGTCCTATCGCAGAGAGCCTGAGTGAGGGGTGTACGCAGGGAAAGTCGAAGGCATTTTCAAATTGAAAGCTTCCCACTGCATCCTGTCCATTCTGCACTGGAGAGCCGCCTTTACCAACGTTAATGAACACAAATGGACTAGTCTGGGAGCCAGCTTTCGAAAACACCTGCTGTTCTTGCCCTCTGCCCCTCTAACAATCTATTTCCAGTCCCGGGGCCCCCTCCCCCTGCCCCTGTGCCCAGTACTATTATTTCTGCCTAGGAGGAAAGATTGGGGCCGGGGTTGACTGTAGCAAAACATATGGTATTCCTGGAAATGATCTTTCCATGGTAGGTGCAACCAAAATAGCATCGGCTCCACGCTTAATAATTGATACTCTTCAATAGCAACTGGGTTTTTTTCCAAAGTGCAGGATTTAAAATATTATTTTTATAGTACTGGATTTTAAAACTTCAGCTCTTAACTAGAGATACAAACCATCCAAATCTGGTGTGTACAACGTCTCATTGCCCTTCTAATTTTTTTTTTTTTTCTCTTTTTGATACAGGGTCTTGCTATGCAGTCCAGGGGGCCTTGAGCTCACTTTGTAGCCCAGGCTGTTCTTGAACTCGAAACAATCCTCCTGCCTCAGCCTCCCAAGTGCTGGGATTCCAGGCATGTGCCACCACATCTGGCTGCTCTCCTAGATTTAAAAAACAACCAAACAACAAAAAAATCCTCAGGGATTTGCCTCCATTTACTCTTGGGATTATTCTTACGTGTTATAAAAAAAAAATCTCAGTGAAAAACTGAAAGATACTGGCATCTGTAATATTTCCAGGTGTTTTGTTTTTATTTTTTGAAACAGGGTTTATTTTGCCCAGGCCGCACTCAAACATCGGGGCTCAAGGAATCTTCCTGCTTCAGCCTCGGTGACTAACACTTAGCGTACGCACCGCAGCACCTGCCTGACTTGTAGTTCTTAAAGACAGCGTGGATAGACTCCGTTAGGCGGGGGTAAGCCCATCTCAGGCCTGGGTCAGAAAACAGAGCCTATGGCTCAGCAAAAACTGGTGAAATAAGTGCCTCTTGCTGCTTTTGCAGCAGTTCAGAATCCCGTTTGCAGGGCCGTGGCTCCGTGCTGCTGTGTAGCTGAGGAAAGTCACGTCCTGTCCCTCTGCTTACCATTTGCTGGACGTTTAGGTCTTCCAAGTAGGATTTTTCCTTTCCCAAGGAAAGTAATCACAAAAATCTTCAGAGCACAGGACACTGAGAAAAGCTTTTCTACCCTTTTCACTACCTGCCATTGTGATGAATGAAACTGCAAAAACAATTAGAGCAGGCGCCCGTGTAAATCTCCAAAGAAAAGCAAATAGGCTTATTACTTTCCTTGGAGGATGCCAAGGCAGTCCCTCTTCCAGGTCCAGCAACAGCAGCGTCAAGGGATTAGCAAACAACGCCGAGCTAGTGTCGATCTCAGTAGCAACGTTCTTGTGGAGAAGGAAGAGCTCCTGCATAACTTCCCTGGGATCAGCGTGCATCCAGATTTTCAGTTTGTATTTCATTGTGCTTTCACCCTTGTAAGCAAATGCACGGGTGACATTTATATTCTACAGAGATTAGACATTACTCAGACGTCCCCTGATTTACAGAACCCTTAAGGGAAATTCCAATTTTAATGGTAGCAGTGAAACCATCAATTCTCCCAGACTTTGAAAACTCCAGGTATACAAAATAATAATGCCACTTCATCTGAGTCAATCCCTCTGGGTACCCGAGGAGGCATGGGCTGCCGCCTCCTGCCTCCCTTGCGGTGGACCCTCTTTTCTTGAACGCCGTGGCAAGGCCTCCATTATATATTTAAGGTACTTTCGAGGATAGTATGAGAACTATTCAGGATGCCAGATTCCTGTTGAGAATTTGAGGATGGATTAGGAATTACTGAGCATGGGTCAGTCAATCTCAATTTAACAAATGTCCTTAGAACAGAACATCTCAGCATGGCAGCAACGGGGTGGGACACACACACACACACACACACACACACACACACACACACCTGTAATCCCAGCTCTCAGGAGGCCGAAGCAGGAGGACGGCTGCAAATTCATTTCCACTCTGGGCTACATAGTGAGTTTTAGGCCAGCCTGAATTACAGAGGGAGACGGTCTCAAAATAAAACTGAACATCTGCTTGCTGAGAACCCCGGCTTCAGTTGGGACCCCTGCCTCTCGCTCCTGGTGTGGGACATTCTGGCTGGATTAAGGCCCTAAGCACTAAAAAGACAGAAAATAATAGATATGCCGGAACAGCAGTCAGCAAACTGTGACCTGTTTTTGGTTTTTTTCTCAGTGCTGGGGATTGAACACATGACCTCACACATACTAAGCACCTGCTTCACTGAGCTATATCCCCAGCCCTAAGGATCTATTTTTGTATTTCTGTGGGGCTCTTTTCATTATTAGGGACTGAACCCAGGGGTTTGTGCATACCAGGAAGTGCTCAACCATTAAGCTACACCCCCAGCCCTTTTTTCTGTCTTTTTGAGACAGGGTCTCTCTATGCAGTTCAGGCTGGCCTTGAGCTCACTTTGTAGCCCAGACTGGTCTCAAACTCTAAATGATCCTCCTGCTTCAGCCTCCTGAGTGCTGGAATTACAAGGATGTGCCACCCCACCAGGCTCCAGTCACCTGTTTTGTTTTTCTGTTTTGTCTTGTTTGAGACAGGGTCTCTCTCTGTAGTGTAGGCTGGTCTTGAGCTCACTGTGTAGCCCACGCTGGCCTCAAATTCACAGTGAACCTTCTGCCTCGGCATGATTATACGTGTGGGCCACCATGCCTGGAACAGTGACCTATTTTTATAAACAGGTTTTTATGAATAAAGTTTTTATATGTTGACACCAAGTCTCAAAAGCATAAATAAGTAAATAAATATACAGTACCTTTTTTTTGGAGATAAGAGTCCCGCTATTTAGTACAGGGTGGCCTCATACTCACTTTGTAACCCAGGCTGACCTCAAACTCATGGTGATCTTCCTGCCTCAAGTCTCAGGAGTGCTGAGATGAAATAAATAGATAAATAAATAAACAAATGAAATGTATAAGCATTACTGGCACCTGGCCATCCCCATTCTTTTACACATACCTGTGGAGACTCCGTGCAGGGGAAGAGCTGAGCAGCTGTGACAGGCTGTGTGGCCTTCAAAGCCTAAAGCATTTCATCTGGCCCTTTGTGGAGAAAAACTGGCTGATTCTTTTTCTAGAAGAATGTGAAGGTGTATATTACTGTGGAGAGAATGACATTCCATGACACAGGGAAAAAAAATACGCTGGGTATGGTGACACGTGCCTGTAATCTGTTACGCGGGAAGCTGAGGCAGGAGCATGGCAAGTTCAAGGCCAGCTTGGGCACCTTAGTGAAATCGCAAAATTAGAAAGGGCTGGGGATGTAGCTCAGTGTTAGAGCATCTTTGGTTCAGTCCCTACCTAGTATCGTACATATATAAAAGGGAGCTTCCTGAGAGGCCAGTAGGAGGTTTGGGAAGGTGCAAGGATCACACTAGGAAGTTAAGGCAATGGCCTCCAGGGGCCACTAGCACACACCTAACCCAACCAAGACTCCCAGCCCATAGAAGGGCTTCTCCAGGCTCAGCGGGACCCTCAGAAGCACTCTCCGGATAGCCACTCAGGACAGAGAGAACAGGACAGAACTTGCAGGGTGGAGGATAAGGAGCACCAGGAGCAGCTTTTGGAAAAGTAGGCCCAGCCAACCGGAAGCCCAGAGGGTTGGTGCTGAGTGACCAGGAGAGCGGGAGAACTTAAATGAATGGGAGGCACCAGGATGCTGGCATGCCAGGCTGGTCTGCGGGGCAGTGGGGGTGCTGGCAGGATCTCAGGCTCACCCCCTTCTGCACCTCAGGCAGAGAGAAGTGCAATTAAAGAATCCCAGGCTTAAATCAGGCATGGTGGTGAATGCCTGTAATCTCAGCACTTGCGAGGCTGAGGCAGGAGGATTGCCATGAGTTCAAGGCCAGCCTGGGCTACATAGTGAGTTCAAGTCCAGCCTGAACTGCATAGCGAGACCCTGCCACAAAAAGCCAAAAAAAAAAAGGTTCGATGTAAATAAATTGAATCCATTCTGAACCATATTTTTTTTTAACCACCAAAAATATGAAACAAAATACAGTACAGGCTGGGGATATAGCTTAGTGAGTGGCACAGTGCCTGCCTGGCAAGCATGAGGTCAGCAGTTTGATTCCCAGTACCACAAAACAAAACAAAAATAAAAATAAGTTCAAAATATAGTACAGTACAGTATGAGGAGACAACACTAAGCTTGCTTGAGACGGCTTCTGGTGTGGAGGGCAGGATGGAGGGTGGGTGGGGAGGGGTTATTGTTTGGAGGGAGAGGACCCCTCACGTTTGACCCCCCGAAAATCTGTGTAATGTCACTTGTTTTTTCCTGCTGTATCCCTCAGGGTTTACTAGAGGAACAGATATAATACAAGATAAACAAGTGTACAAAGAATTCCAAGTTTGGCTTACAATGGTCAGCTACAGAGTTGCATGAGGAAGCGTGCAGAAGGTGTCTGCACGCTGGAGATTGAAGAGCCCAGCCCCGGGCCTGGAGCTCGCTGCAGTGTCCGTGCAAGTCCGTATCAAAAGGCTGATGGGTCTGCGACATGAAGGCCGGAGAGCCAACACCAGAAGGCTGAAGAGTCCAGACCGAAG